TATTACATATGGGAATGAAAAATCCACACAACCCATGAAGGGAAACAGTCAAGTCCAGAGGATATCCAACACTTCCTAGGTAGTTTATAGTGTTTCAGACTCCTGGTCCTTCCTCAGGAACAAAGAACAACATAAGGAGTCTCATACCAGTTTCTTAACAGGATGATGTTATTCAACTTCTTTAATGGGCTAGGTCTCCTAAGTTTTAATATGCACCTCTAGGGTTGCTTCTATGTGAACAGGACCAAACATGCCTCAAAGTCTCCGGCCTACTGGGACAGCTTTTTGTACATTTATACTTTCGGGTATTTCAGCTCACAGTTGTTTTGCTGTTCCTGGCTATATTAGAATGTGTGCTGTATTGTTTGTTTCTTGTTTTCAATAAGGGAAAGCGTAGGATCGAGTCCCCCCTCTGCCTGTCTAAGGCAATGGAGGAGGAGAGAAGACACCCTTCCATTAGCAGGCTTCCCTTCTGTAGGTGAGACGGCTGTTGGCAGCTGGAAATGGCTCCTAACACTCATTTACCGTCTCCTGCCCAGCAGTCCTTTCTCCCACCCTCCGCTTCTGATGAAACGTAAACGCAAAATCGGCCCTGCTTTTTGTGGGTGGCAAAGTAGCCAGTGGGTCTGAAAGTCGCCCAAGAGGTGAGGAGAGAGCAGAATCAGAAAAAGAGAGGAAAGGGGAGAGAGGGTCCAGTTTTGAAGGCCAAAGAGGGACGCAGGAGAATGAAACGGTGAATTCCTCTCACAAAGGCCTGGGAGTTGCGGCAGCACTGTTCCTTCCCTCACCTCCAGATAATATGAGGAATACACAGGCTATAAATAGTGTTGGCAACCTGAACTGATACCCAGGCAACGGAGATCAGTTCCCCTGGGGGAAATGGCTGCTTTGGAGAGTGAATTCTATGGTATCATACTCTTCTGAGCTTAGGGTCGCTTGGTCCCTTCATTGTGCCAGCAGGGAGATTTGGGGGTCATTCCAGGGGTGGGCAAGAATGTCGCGTGATGTCGGGGGTGATGCTCTGTTTTTTGGACAAAGCTCTATGGTAAAAATGGCCTCAGAAACCAGAGCGTGGTCCCTGATGTCACCAATGCGCTAACGTGGCTTCTGGGTGATGTCACTGCATCGTGCACGGTGTTGGGGGGGGAATTGCTTCCCACCAGCCAGCTGGCTGAGGGCAGGCAGGAGCCCCCAAAAGTGGGGAATCCCCCGCCCCCACCTGGGGAAGGGGCACTCTGTCTGGGCTCCAAATACTCCCTAAACCCTGCCTTCCTCAGACTCCACCCCCAAAGTCTCCAGGAATTTCCCACGCCACGGGCTGTACCTGTGCTGCAACCGCCCAGTGTTGAGGCTGATATGAGGAGGAGGATTCACAATGTGATCTGCTCCCCCCTTGAGGACCGGGGCTTCCTATTTTATCCCCGTGGCTGGAGGAGAAACGCCACCACGGCTGCTCCCATGTTGCCCAGAGCAGTGTTGAGTGCTGAGCCTTAGAAGAACAGGGCTTCAGTTCATTTTGTGTGTGTTTGTGTAGAGATCTGAACAGCTGCTGTTCATTAAGCAGACTCATTAATGAAGGCACAGCATGCACCGACTCCTGCAGTTCTTGGTCAGCCTGAAGGGAATCTAAATAACCTTTGACTGTAATGGAAGAGACAGATGACAGGTGCACAGAACATGGACAGATACAGAGGACCATATTGTTCATTATGTTGATTGCGATGCTTGTTTGACCATTGTGTTCTTCTTTATTCCACTCAGTGTTTTGGACCCACACTTCCTGTGCGTGGTCAGCTTTCGTTCCCCCCTTACTTTGTGTTTTCTCTGTATGATCTGCCACTGCATGTTCTCTCCAGGAGGCTTTTCTCTCCAGAGTTAACACCTTTCTCTGTATTGTTTTTCCCTATGGCTGTTCAAGATTCTTTCTCTCCTGTCGCACTATATCTCTTTTCTAATCTGTTTTCTCTGTATTTGTTTATTGTTATGTATTTATTGTTAACATTTTTACCCTGCCCTCCCCGTGTATCTTTCTCCCTCTCTCTTAAGCATTCTCGTTCTTCATCTGCATCTTAGACTGGACAGAGTTTCAGTCCATCTCAAATGTACCAGACTGAAGAGCCGAAGGACTTAAACAGACCAGGCAAATATCAGCATCTCTGCAAATGCATAACATGCAAATTGGAGGCTTGGTGAGCCTCGGTTTGCCTTAGGTCCATACAGGGGAAATAGAGGGGTTAACCCTTTAACCTACACACAGTTTCACCATTTAAAACCAGGCTTCCTGCTCTATTGTTAGTATTTTGAAGGAGAAAAAAGATTTATTAAAAATATATATACATACACCACTTTATAAAATGGTAATATCAGAGCAGGGTATAGTGCAACCAAATATAGTGAAACCAAATAGCAGAGCAGCGTATAGTGAAACCCCTTATTTTTTCTTCCACAGCCTCAAGACAAATTGAGGCTGCACAGGCCTTTAATTTGTATTTTTTATAGAGAGCTAGAGACACGTGATCTGGCCTGTTTGAGCCTTGAGAGAACATTCGTTGAGTAGAATATTTTGGAAGGGAAGCACAGAGAGAAATTTAACCTCTCCTCTTTTGCACATCCGATATAACCTGCAAAAGCATGCATATGGCTGTGAGAGAGGTGGGCAAGTTCCCTTTTTCGTTTGACTGGCCTAGGGCAATAGCTAAGGTTGCCAACCACTAGGTGGTAGCTGGAGATCTCTTGCTATTACAACTGATCTCCAGGCGACCAAGATCAGTTCACTTGGAGAAAATGGCTGCTTTGGAAGCTGGACTCTATGGCATTATACCCCACTGAAGTTCCTTTCCTCCCCAAACCCCGACCTCCTCAGGATCCACCCCCAAACCTCCACGTATTTCCCAACCTGGAGTTGGCAACCCTAGTGATGGCCCTGTGTCTCCACCTTTTCTTTTCCCCCAAATGTTTTGTACTCCAAGGATGTTTTTTGTAATATTTTGTACTCAAGGATGGGCAAGTGGGTGTCAACATGGCAAATGGGCGTCAACATAGCAAATGGGGTTCAATGTGGCCAAGTGCAAGGTGATGCACATTGGAGCCAAAAATCCTAAATATAAATATACATTGATGGGGTCTCAACTGGCAGAGACTGATCAAGACAGAGATCTTGGAGGTGTATATAACTCACTGAAAATGTCGAGACAGTGTGTGACTGCAATAAAGAAGGCCAATGCTATGCTGGGGATTATTAGGAAGGGTATTGAAAACAGATCAGCCAATATAATAATGCCCCTATATAAATCAATGGTGAGACCTCATTTGGAATACTGTGTGCAGTTCTGGGCACCACACCTTAAAAAAGATATTATAGCTTTGGAAAAAGTGCAGAAAAGGGCAACTCAAATGATAAAAGGGTTGGAACACTTTCCCTATGAGGAAAGGTTAAAGCGCTTAGGGCTCTTTAGCTTGGAGAAAAGACGACTGAGGGGTGACATGATCGAGGTTTATAAGATTATGCATGGGAAAGAGCAGGTAGAGAAAGAGGTACTTTTCTCCCTTTCTCACAATACAAGAACTCGTGGGCACTCCATGAAACTGCAGAGCGGTCGGGTTAGAACGGATAAAAGGAAGTACTTCTTCACCCAAAGAGTGATTAACACATGGAATTCACTGCCACAGGAAGTGGTGGCGGCTACAAGCATGGACGGCTTCAAAAGGGAATTAGATAAGCATATGGAGCAGAGGTCCATCAGTGGCTATTAGCCACAAGGTATAGCTAGGGGCTCTGTGATTCTCATACTCATTTCCATTTCATTGGCTGCTGCTTGTATATAGCAGTTTGCTGTAACCAATGCAGTTGGGAAATGTTAAAGAGAAACGTGAAAACTGGATGTTGAATAGCTAGACTTTTCCCCCAAGACTGCTTACAATCACATTAGTTGGAGGCTACCATCTTCCTCATAATGCTGTTAGACTTTGCAGGGTAACGTGTTTTTCTCATGTGACCAGAGATCAGGCAAAAATTTGGGGTGTGCAGGAGAATAAACGTGTTCAACCCAATAACAAGAATACATTTTTAGGATAACAAGGAGTCAGTTGTGTGTGTGTGTGTGTGTTTTAAAGGATATATGTTTTACATTTATGATTATAGAAATAAATCTTTCCAAAATGGCACCTGCTGTTACAATTAAAGGCTGAGCAGCTTCCAGGGATTGTTAAAGGTCCTTATTTGCCTACATCTGTGTTCAATCTTAGGAGTCCCTGGATCATCCTTGAACCCCATCTTGTAGTATGGACCACTTTTGATTTTGAGCTGCATGTTCCAGTCTTTCTCCTCCGTTTTGTTCTGCTACTTATGTTCTTTCTCTCTCCTCCTCTCCTTCATCTTCTCTTAACGTAAACAGACCAAAACACAAGAAGAGGGAGAGAAAATGGTATTATTTCTACTGTCCAAACCGTGTCTCTAGATAATGATTTCATGCCTCATTAGATGTCAAAGGTTTCAGTACTTCTCTATTACAGTATGTTACATTGCACACCAAATTAGGATCATATTGCTGTCTTGTGTAACGAACCATAAAATGGAGAGGAGAAGCCTTAATGAAGTTATGTTTCGAACGCTACATTCACGGCCAGCGAGGCCTTCACATTGTTGCACCTAATCTCTCCCAGTCTTTGCTGAACTGTAGAGTTTGGGATTGTTCTTTGACAGGAAGAGGTATCGCTTCATAAAAGCAAGACAGGACCCTTTCGGATTTCAGCTGCCCATGCAAGCACATAAAATGGCTTTGGGGCTTGAGGCTTTTGAGGAGTTGATTTTCAAACCAAAGTGTCATGGGTGTGCCTTAGAGGTCCGTTTTCCATTTTGGTGCATACCACAGGAAGAGGATAATGAACTAAAGCAGCAAGACAATGAATGGAGGGAGCTAAAGCAATGATGATGTTCCACTGAGATGGTGAATAATTTCCCTCAAGGGTAACCCTTTTCTCCTTGCTCTTTTTCATTGCAGGTCCTTCAGAAGCTAGGAAAAGCTGATGAAACTAAAGATGAACAGTTTGAAGAGTATGTTCAAAACTTCAAGAGGCAAGAGGTATTTTTTCAGTTGTGGATTTAATGATCCCATATGCAGTGTTGTGTGTATTGACAGACAAAGGAATTGTAGGGCAGTTGTCATCCTTGAAAGATTTTTGGGGGTCCCCTCTTTTTCTTTTTCGAGTCGTATTTTCAGACATATACCTTTGTTTGGGAGAGATTTCTTAGGGCTGCCTCCTACAATCAATTATATGGAGTTGTGTGTTTTTAAATTTTTTCCCATTGTGCCTACTACAAGTGGACATTTCTAAGGAAATGCAGTAGCTGTTTTAGAGTTGCTTACATTTTTCGTTTGGAAAATCGATGAAGATGCAACAGCAGAAAAACATCCTTTTGTGCAACCAGTCCCTCAGTTCATAGGGATGCCAGGCTACCCACCACCTGGCACCTGCGGGAACTTTGGGAGCAGAGCAAGGGGCAGGCATGACATTGTGGGATGCATTGATGTCACAACGGGGTGTCAGCTGACACTCTGGGAACTCTATGGTATTATATTATTTCTGTACCTGTTGTTCTCCCACCAGCCTGGACACAAGGGTGGATGGGAGGGCCCAGCAGGCAGGGGACTGACCACCTATAGTAGGCACATGGCATGCCTGCCTCAAAATGAACAGCCTTGTAAGCTGTAGTTAGAAACAGAGAATGAAATCTTCCATATACCTGTTCAAGTGGAGGATGTGTGAAAACCCTTGGCAAATATACGAAGTCTTAAACAAACAACAAACAAAAAAATATGGCATTGCGGACATGGAGCTCCCTTGCTGGCAGTTACTTCCCCATTTATTTTCATGGAAGGAACAATTTTTCTATACATGCATTTTTAAATTTAATTTTTAATTTTTTTTCCATTGTGGCCCCACAACCAGAAAGAAATATAAAATATAACAATGATACAGCAGTGGTGGCAAGTCCACAAATATGCATCTGTAAAAGGTTTCCAAGTATCTAATAATATGGCCATGCACAATTGTTGTCTGTGTTGTTCAAATGTTGGTTGTTAGGCTGTCAGTCCACTGGATTACTGGAGGTAGGCATTTGTATCCCCAGTGTTGTAATGTAAGTCTTTTAGCAACAGTATGGCTTTGGAGGTCCCATTTTCGTTGACCGTCGGTTAGACTCCAAGATACAGGCCAATGGTTTAAAAGTACATAAGCGTCATCAAAAATCAGTGAATGTGCTAATACAAAACTGATGTAATTACTTCCTTCCAAGAATGAATAACTGGACAGATCCAAAGCATATGTTCAAGAGATGCATCCTGGCCCCGTTCACACGGAGCATTTGCTGCGCTGAAGGCACGCGTGTACCGCGGATTTTCTGGGCGCGATCACACCAGAACATCTGGGAGACATAGTGCACCCATGGCGAACCCGTGGCGTCCCGCCAAATATGCACATTAAAAAAGTACCTGGGACGACCTACTGGCAAATGGTTTGCCATGCGCTGCATGCGGACTCCCTGGGCATGATTGCGCTGGCGCATGGCTTTCTCCCCCGTGGTCCTCTTTGCTGCGGGGACACCACCGTTGCGTCTGATCGCATAATGGCACATCAGAATGCAATGGTGCTAATAGGCACGCCTCCCCTCCACATTTTTCGGCATGTGTGGCCGGGGGCCCTGTAATTTAGAGCACTAGCAATTAGACACTTTACTGAGTCCTTTACTAAAAAGGTGCTGTGGCGTCCAGTATATCTGAAACATAGTTTTTTCACAGGTTAAGGTTCATAGAGAAAACAGGTACAAAATTTAGGACTGTATCCCATTGCTTTGGCAAAATAGATCAATCTAGTTCCGTATTCCATTCATTTCTGAGACTTTGTGTGTCATATTTATTAATCAACCTAAAATATTTGTAAACAAATATTGTAGGTTTCATTTTCTTCATTGATTCAATGTAGATTTTGAAACACTAGTGCTGCGGGTCATATTTATATACCAACAAAGTTACAGTTGTGAATATCGCTATTCAGCAGAAGGTGACAGTTCATATCTAGACCTCAGGTGAGAAAATAAGAAAAACTCATTGTCATAGTTGTTGAAAGTAACAATCCCCCTCTCCATCCACACATGTGTGTGGAGGTGCCCCCTGTATTGACATTAATGAAATGCTCCATATGTGCTCGGCCTCCTAGTGTACATTAGAGCACTTTTCTCTGAAGTTGTGCAACTGATTCTAATCTTTCTTACTCTGAAACAATCCCATTGACCATTGTGGAACAACATATGACTCAGAATAGTAAGCAATAAACATAATACTTGCAGCTAAGGGAGCTGTGGACCGCTAATTCTTCTTTCTATAATCTTTTAAGTGATTAGTATCTGATGATTTTAAAATAAAATTAGAGGCAATAACTTAAGATGAAATGAAGAGTGGCACATGAAACTGGAATAAGCTATAGAGCTGTGCAGTTTTCCTAGCTAAAAGTCTGGCTGTTCCAGAACCAGAATTTATTTCCACCACATAAATTTGTTGTTCTAAAAGTCTGGTGGAAATAAATTCTGGTTCTGTTTTTGTATTTAGATGCTGCTTCTATTTGTTAACCAAACTCCTGAATTACGGCTAAGAAGCAGTTGCAGTAAAGGAGTGACACATTCTGGAAACGTTTTCATAAGTAGTGATAATGTATGGTTAAATGAGGCTTGTGTCGTGTCTAATTAAATTTCCAAAGAAGAAACCCCTCCCTATTTGGTTAATTTAACACTATAAAAGAGGCTCATGCTGTGTAGGGTTACCTCTCTAATATACTTTTATCCTGGCCTTCCTCCAAGGAGTTCACTGCAATATGCACTGCAGTATGCACCTATTATGGGATAGGATGAGAGACAGGGATGTCCTAAAATTGCCCAGCGAGCTTCATGGCTGAATGGGGATTTGAACCTAAGTTTCCCCAGTCCTTGTTCATTTCAGCTGTCACACCCCATTAGCTGTCTCAGAGTAGATTAATATATTTTTTCAAGCTATAAAAACTGATGGGCTCAGTTGTCTTTTAAACCCTCGAAGCCAGATGGGGGAAGATGTTTCGCCTGAGGTAACTTTTTGTAAAGGGTCAGGTTTTTCATATTCTCTTCTAATTCTGTAAAGTCAGCGATGATATCCCTTGCCGCCAAATCAGTCCTTGATGCTGCTGATAAAGCTATCATTCTTTTTGATAGAATATTTATATTCCGTGTACATTTCCCTTGCATCCAGGCTGGTTCTTGTGACAGATGCCGTTGCATCTGAAGCAGCTGGCCACAAAGAGTACAATCCTGCTTGCACTGCCTTCACTGAATAGCCCGTAGGAATTAGTGTAGCCCTCACTTGATCATTGGGGTCCTTCACTTCATTTCAAGTTGGGGTCCTTCTTCATCTACTCCAACCATGTCCAGTAACTTGTTTCCTGCATACTGGAGTTGTTGGCGAGGAATGACTGCTTAATAGGTATGGAAGGATCTCAGCTGGGAGCGAGTGGACTGTGTGCCCAACTGACCAGCGGCTGACCAGCATAAACCTTAGGCAGAGTTATACCGGTCATTGGTTTTAGAAGGGTGTAACTCTGCTTAGGGATAGAGAGGACTACTCTGGCTTCTGTAGAGGGGGCGATTCTGTTGTACTGTATATGTGTGGGAAGTACAACTCTACCTTCATGCATTTTCTTCAGGCAATACTGCTCAGTGGGAGAGCAACTGAGAGTTCCTATTATTCCTGCCACTACATGGTGAGAAAATAACAGTTTGTATGGGAAGCAATGGGCTCCAAATGGTTTGGTCAGGCCCACCATTGGTGCAGACAGTTTTCATTAATGCCAACAGAATTGTGTTGCTTCAAGCCAAGTAAAGATCTGGCTCTTAGCCTTGCAGCCTTTAGTAAGGGAATGAGCAGCGGTGAGTTCTAACTTGCCAGCCCAATAAGACCCCAGCGGCCTCTTAAAGATGTCAGTCAGTAGCTTGAGTGGCCAGATGGCACGATGAGGAAGCAAAACACAGATATCAGAAGTGTCATAGCTCAGCCCCTTTTGAATCCAGCGTTATGTGGTAGGTTTTTGTCCATGCCAAGGCTCAAGACTTTGGCATGGGTGGCATACGCATGTACGTCTTGTGATGTCTCATCACCATGACTGCATTGGGAAAGTGTTTGGATGTGGTTTCCTGATGTATGCACAAGTGGTGAAAGTATAGTTTGACTCAATGGGATATTGAATGATTGATACTGATATTGAACCATGAGAACCCCCAAACTGTAAAACCAATCAGTGAACTACAGCGAGGGGTGGTGTATCCAGAATTCATTTCATCCTGTTTTCATGGATCCTCTATCCACAATTCCCAAAAGGCCAGCTCCCTGGACTGGAATGTAGGTCCCTCAAGTATGTGTGATCTGATTTCATTTTTGCATGGTCCAGGGCTTTTTTTGTTACTGGAATCCTTATGGCCTGCTTAGTTTAAATTTACAAAGCATGAATGCATATTCAGGTTCTCTAAGCAGTTCTGCATAACTATTCTTAGGCTGTTTCCCCCCCAGTGACCTATTGGTTTTTCTGACTGAACAAATTGCAAAACTTTGTTTATTTTAAGACTTTGGATCTGTCATATATATTGTATTGATATGAATTTCTAATTAAAAAAGGAGCCAAGTCAGTCCTTCAGCCTTAATGTGTAGTAATATATCATTAATGATTGCAGTTCTGTCAGCTTTAGATTGTAGGTGCAATCTTAAGAGAATAATGTGCTAGAACAATTCTTGGTGGACTGTGTTTTTTTAATTAATAAGGCATTCTGTAAAGTAGTTTTGATGCTTAGCCAAGCGGTTCCTTCACATCCAGAACTGTTTTCTAGAAATCATCCAAAAAGCATAACTGTTCTGGATTAAGATAAATTCAGGGGAAGCCGTATCAGTCCGAAGAACTAGATATCTGAAGAAGTGTGCATGCATCTGGAAGTTTATACCCAGAATTAAACTTTGTTGGTCTTAAAGGTGCCACTGGACTCAAACTTTGTCCTGTGTTAAATTATTCCAAA